ATTACCCATTTAAGCCGTCTCCAGCCATTATTAGTCTCAAAGTGGGTTCCTCGTCATCGAATTTAAATTGTGTTAATATTGAGATTTATATCATACAGCATAATCAGAATAGTAACATATATATATACATGTGTTTTTACCTATGTGCAATTTGATATTGTTTTCCTTGTGCAATTCTGTAACAAATATAGGTATACCCCAGAGGATTACTTCATCACACAGGGAACATTGTCAGTATAATGCTTTTCTTCAGTAAGAGTGTAGTACACTAAGATGGATATGCAAATTAGAGAATGTTGCCAACCTAATGTAAATTTATTTATTCATTTTTATTTTGAAAATTATATTTATTTGCAGTATTCTTATGGTTTAATCATTAATGTTAAATAGTTAGAAATCTATTCCATGTGATTTAGGAATTATGAGTAACTGAAAGGAAAAAGCAGAAAATTGAAAGTATAGCAGTGATGGCACAATAAGATGGTAGATTTTGCATGGCAGCACAACAGGATACCAAACTTTTCAACATATAATACTAATTATAGTAATCAAATATGTATTTTAAAAAAAAATTGCCGGCATGGCCAGGTGGTTAGGAGGCTCGACTCGCAATCTGCGGTTCGCGGGTTCGCATCCCCATCCCACCAAACATGCTCGCCCTTTCAACCGTGGGGGCGTTATAATGTGACTGTCAATCCCACTATTCGTTGGTAAAAGAGTAGCCCAAGAGTTGGCGGTGGGTGGTGATGACTAGCTGCCTTCCCTCTAGTCTCACACTGCTAAATTAGGGACGGCTAGTTCATATAGCCCTCGTGTAGCTTTGCGCGAAATTCAAAACAATCAATCAATTTTAAAAAAAAGTTAATTTCATTCAATCATTCACGAAGAAGTTAATAGGAGGTAATTTCTTACACAGAACTCTGAATAGATGTTTTATATTTTGTTACTATTTTTTTCTTTAATCGTATATAGCTTTAACTTTTAATCATCATTCTACTGTTTTTTTTTCAATACTTCTGTGGTTCTAGAAGTATTTTATTACTGAAATCTTTACTCAGTCCTCACCATTTAATTGATATAATAGTCTTTTTGAACAAAGGAATCATTTATAATGTACACTTTTATTACACCAAAATTATCAGACATACAAATGATGAATTACTAGTGATATTTTTCTTTCTACATAATTCAGGGAAATGAAAGAGGTGAGAATTTGAGTTTTTATGCATCAGAATTGACACTACCAAAACACATGGCTTGTCATGGTGAACTGATGCCGTACACAGATTTGATGCACTGGCTGAAAGTGTCTGATGCCAGTAGTTATAACCAACTTACAAAGGTGAGTGATATAGTTAAGACTTTCGTATGCTATGTTAGCTGTAATATATATGCTTGGGAAAAAATAACTTTTACATTCATGAAACAAGAGACATTTATTTATATGTTCATAACATACATATAAGTGCATAATTTTCAATGCTATGTAGTTAATTTAGTAGACATTTGTATCATTGAATGGCTTAACATTCATTACTGTGAAGTTTTATTCTTACTTTTGGATGTTCTTTAACCAAATAATTCATGCTATTGTTGTTTGAACATGATAGAAATTACACATATGTACTTTTACTTATTGATGTCTCAACATAGCACAGTTAAATTGATCGTATATCAATATACATTTTACTTAAAGGTTGCAATCTTTGAAATTAAAGATATCTTTAAACCTTTCCGAACCAGAGGGAGGTTATTGATATCCTTTGATTTCTTTTCTTATCACAGTGGAAATACTTCATCAAAATGCATGAAACTTTGAACTAACTTATAAATAGTATGTAGTTTTATCTTTAAAAATCCATGTAATTTGATTTATTTTTCTGTAGTTGTTTATGTTGTGAAATTGGAGATAATGGTTTGAAAAAACATTAAAAATACTTCCTTTTGTTTCCGAATAGAAGTTTCAGTATTGATCAGAAAATTTCCTTTTATATATATATATGATATCCAGTCAATATCAACTTGACTGATATTCATTAACATATTTCTTTTGATAATTTATTTTACTGATTATACTACTCACCACTTTCAGCTATAACTTGTATATAAAAAAAACAAAAAACTCGCAGAAACTGACAAAGATTTATCTGTGCCCTAGGATCTGACCTTTCAAAATGGCATCAGGTCAGACTAGGTAACACTAATTTTGCTGACAATATTCTTGACTGAGATCAATTTATATATGAAAATATGTTTTTTCAATAAATTATAAGCTATTTTATTTATGTGGATAGTTTGAGTATAGTAAATGCAATCACATTCGATAAATATAAATAAGGATTTGAATCAGTGGAATATTTTGCTATCGCCCACTGTACTTGCTAAATCTAACATGGTTGGCCTGATGTGTTGCCAAAGCAGAAAATTCCTGTAGTATAGAAGTATAGTTTAACAAGAAAACATTTTCAGGAATAGGAATAATATCTAAATAAAGTATTTAAAAATCATCTGTAGCTTGTTACAGAGTTTTCTTAATTTTGTGTTAAATTCTTTTGTGTAAGAGCTACATATAATCACTTTCTCAATAAACCATAAATTACTTCCTTCACCACTTTATTCAGTTTACATTGATGTTAATAATTTCTAACCTTCTATATCTACTGGTATATAAACTTTGTTCGTGGATACTTTTAAAGCTGAGCTTCATTAATAATTGGTCAGATCACATGATGTGAGATAGTAAAAAAGTGAGAACAAAAGCTTGCAGTAATAAAGCCAGAGAAAAAGAAGGAAAATAATGTGAATTTAAACATGAATAATTATACTCTCAAGGGATTATAGTTTTTTAGTAAATGTAAATGTTTGCTTTGGGATGGACAGAAAAATTATTTAAAAAATTATAGATAAGACACCTTGGAGTGAGCAGAAGTAAAAGTTTGAAATGTTTTTCATTTTATTTGCAAAATTACACAAAATATCAATTCTAAAATATTTTTGAGTTAAGCCTAAGTATAGGTGGTTGGTCAAAATGGCCAACTTTGTAACCAAAAGATAATCATAAAAATATGCATACTATAAATCTGAATTTACCAAGTGTACCTTCATAAAATTTGGCAAGCTTGTAGTAAACATTACAAGCTTTTTATACACAATAATCTGATTTTGTTTTAATTAAGTATTTTTACTAAACTTTTGTCTGTGGATTTACAAAGGCCTTTACTGAGTTGGTCCAAGTGCAAGATCATTTTCGTGTTAAGAATAATTTTTTTAGTCTTACAGTTTTCTTATTTCATTTGCGTAACTACTAGAACCTCCTAAATGAATGTCAAAAGTTATTTTTCAGTAAAACTTCATATTTTATCTATTTTTGCTACCTTAACTGTGTTGGCTTCAGTCAATTTGACTGGCATTGTAACCACCAATTAACCAAAAAATATTTCTGATCTTTTGATTGACACAAGCTGTAACTAAATCTTGATTGTCCTTATCTGTCGTTGATCTCTATATCTTGGTTTAATTTCAGTTAGTGCAAACATGAGTTGATGCATCATATGATACTGAACTTTTTAATATTTTTGCCATAGAGTCAAGACCAAATATAAAACGTCTTGCCATGAGTGGCATTTAACATGCATACAATTTTAGCTTCATTCTAGTTGCATAGCCTACATAATCTTTATGGTTATTGATCAAGTTTTATTATACCTTATACATTTAACATTTTATACATTACTGTTTTAACACATTGCAGACGGGTTTCGAGTTTACTTGTGTTTCATGCAGAGCATCGTTGTGTGCTATTTATTAAAACGTTGAGTTTGAAAGGAGTCAGACACATTTAATTTTGTTCATAACTCAACTATATTATTTGAAACATTTAGAGTATGTACATAAAGACACCTACTAAAGTTTTGAAGTGTGGTAACTTGCAAAACATTTTCCTATATGGGGTAGAAACACACAAAATTTCACTCCCTTTCCCATGGGCAGTACAAACTCTGCAGGCTCTGGTAGGAAATTTCTCTTTTCCTATAGATGAAATGAACACAGGAATATGCTGCTTCACGTCACCAGACAGTCTTCCTGGGGGATTCTTATATGGGGCTCTCCTTGTACCTTCAGATGATTGACCGGGTTCGTTCCTCTCTAGTTCCAGTGAGCCTTCTATCTCTTCATCAGTAATCCATTCTCTTGCCATGGAGAGGAGGAACTGCATATATATATATATTATTTTTTTTTTTCTGTTGATTCAGGGCTTTGTAGATTATATATGAATTGAAAAGGCTGCAATTTATTAGATAAAGTACTACCTTTTTTCATTTCGCTGTTTATTTGAGAATGGTGTAGTATGAGAGGTACTGATTTGCATGATCAACATCTTTCATGTGGGCATTGTATTGGAGAACACACACAGGTTTTTTTATTTCTTCTCCAGTTACTCTATTTTTCTTTCCTATGGTAGAAACAGATGAGTCATGGATGGTTGAAACCATTCTCACTTCTCTCTTGTCTTTCCATATGAAAAAAAGAATCTTTTCTATAGAAAACTGTTTCACCTTTTTTCTTTGTTGAAACTTCAGGCTTGGTGGCAACCCACTATTTACTCTGATTTTTATGCAGACTCTTCTTCTAGGAACAGGTTTGCAATGGAAGTACTGTTGTAATAATTGTCCTCGTATACATAGTGCCACAATCCAAGATTGGAAGCAAGAACTGAAAAAATAGTCTCCTCCAATTTTTTCCCCACACCAGTATAAATTTCCATGTTGCAAATATAACCTGTGTCATTCTCACACACCATTCTCACCAGCAGGCCATATTTTAAAATTTTTGCATGGTTGTATGTTTGGAATCTTAGATGTCCCCTCCATGAAATAATGCCCTCATCCAATGACAACTGTGCTTTGGTTTGTATAGCATATTGAATTTATTGAGGAAATAATCCAGTAGTGGTTGAATTTTGAAGAGCCTGCCTGAAGACTCACCCATTTTCTGATTCTCATTGAAATGCTAAAATGTCCAGATTTGTTCAAATCTGTTTCAGCTCAATGTCTGCGAAAATATTGGGCTAATGAAAAGAGGATCTGTTGACCAATAATCTTTCCAGTTATATTTCCTTGTCTTTCCCATTAGTAGAATAAGGCCTAGGAATTTCCTCATGTCTGTAGATGTAACTTTAGACCATTGAAGTCCTTTAGATGACAATTTATGCTTCTCTGCAGTTTGATTATGGTAGGTACACATTTCCTGACAAAACATTTCAAACAAGTCATCACCAAACATTAGACTTGTCACGGCAGCAATACCTTCGGGTTCCAATGGAGTTATAGTGACCCCTGGATTTCTTTCAAACATTTCCAAATTCAGTAGAATATCTATTTCTGATGAATTATTATTATCACAACAGGAAAACAAATCACTAAAAGGAACATTTGTAGAATCATCATCACTTTCTGATTCAAAATCAGTTGATAGAACAACAACTTTATGTATCTTTGTAGGTCTAACAATGTCACTGTAGCTAGAGTCATTGTCAGAATGATTCCACAAACACATCCATAGCAGAATCTTCACCTTCACTTGGAAGATCTGACAAATTATCATCAAGTACTTCAGTAATTATGTCATCTTCACTCAATACATTACTTTTTCTTCAAGAAGCCATTTATAAAATTATGGGTATTGTAAGCAAAAATCAGGAAAATAATAACCGTCCAAAACAAAATAAAGCACACCGACTTGTTTCAATTGTAACAGTTTAATAAATGACACACAAAGACGCTCTGCACAAAACACAAATAAACCAACCATTACATACACAACTATTTAAAATTAATCTTGAACAAAATCATGGTTCTCCATAATCTTTACTATCTCTATTCAACTCTTAGACCCTTGCTTCCAGTTAACTTCTAGATGAAGATACACATGAAAATCATTTGTTATGTTATTATATATATGTGTGTGTGTGTGTACCACTATATAATCATCATATTGTAAAACTTCAAGTAACTGCAAAATTATTCATAGTATTTGAACAGTGAATGAAAAACACACTTTTTTCAAACATATGTTTTTGAAATACATTCTATCTTTGGGCAGGTCCTTTTCAGTTAATTCCTGAAAATAATGCAGAGTCCAGTCCATGTAATGATAACAAATTAGTTTATTTTTTCCTCAAAATTTTCTACAGTCTGCTATCACTTTTACACAGTTTTAGACCCAGTCTGCTATCACTTTTACACAGTTGTAGGTCTAACTTCAACATAAACATTTTCCACTTTCAACAGAAATTTATTTCGTATGGTACTACAACTAATGTACAAATAAATGTACTTGTAC